AAGCAAATCTAGAAGCTCCCTAAAATTAAAACCCTCGTAAGCAAAAACTCTCGGCCACCTCTCATGTGCGTCGCGCGCGTCCCGCCAGCTTGCGCGCGCCGCCTTGCCTTTCCTACTCCTCGTTGCGCGCGGCAATCCGCGCGCTTACTCCCCACGCGTCGTCCTTCGCGCGCGCCCCTCGTCCGCCGACTCCACCTTGCGCGTGCGTGCCTAGCGCTCTCGCGTCGCCTAATCCTTCCATGTCTAGGACACCATCCGCGTCATCCCACTCGCGTACCACCGCGCATGCCCAGCCCTTGCCGATCTTCTCGCGCGCGTTGTGTCGCGCGCCCGCGTGCTCACATGCGCGCCCTTGGCGCCCTATCCTTTCTCCGCATGACCTCCGCACGTCCCAGCTACCGTCCCAGCCCAGACTGCCTACGGCGTTCCCGCGTACACCCGCGCACCCGTCCATCTTGCGTCCGCGTTCTCCCCGCCAAACCCGCGTGCGCGGTCTATTTGCCCACTCGTGTGCATCAAGTGCCGATGCACACCTTTTGCCTTTTCGCCCCTTGCTAGACTCGCCGGTCCCCAACTCCACTTTCGTATCATTCCCCTCCCCTTCAAGACTTTTCTTGTCCCCAAGGATTAAAAAATTCGGCTTCCCCTCTCGACCATCCCCGCTATCCTCATCAAGTGACCCGCCTGGGTCCTCAGTCCTCAACTTGACCCTCTTGCTTGACCTCCCGAACTCCATAGTTCCTTTCCAATAATCGGTTGTGATTGGACCAAGAGTCTCCAACCACTGGCATCCAAGCACTACATCAGCTGCCTTCAATGGCAATGCATAGAGATCCACTCTCATCCTTTGACCTTGAGCTTTCAACTTTACACCCTTGAATAAAATATCTCCTCGTAGTGTTTCCCCGTTTGCAACCTTGACTCCAAAAGGTTTCACCTTGGTGAATGGAATATCGATTTCTTTAGACAACTCCTCATCAATGAAGTTTAGCGTGGATCCGCTATCGACCAACACTTCCACCAATTTTCCTCCTACTTCAGCCGTGAATGTGATCATTTTCGGACCACGTTTCTTGCTTTTAACCATATGTAATAGGGACTCCTCTCTTGGTTCTTCTTCTTCCTCAAATTCAAACAAAAAGACCTCCTTACCCTTGCACCTGTGGCCTGGCGTAAATTTTTCGTTGC